CGATTCGTACAGAACGTCTAAGAGATTGTTCCCCAGTTTCTTTATTTACTTCACGTTCTCTTTCAGAATCAAGTGTCATGGTTGCTTCTCTAATAATCGAAACATTATCATTATCCATCGTATCGTTAAATGTACTAGAAGGTCTCCGAGATTTTTTCCTTGGGTCTTTAAGCATTTCTTTTTCGGGTTTTCGTTTAGAAGATTCAATGATGTCTCTTTTTTTTTCCTACTCAAATAAATTAAGTATTAAGAATTCTGGATTGTAAATTAAAATACTTGTGCAAAAAAAAAAAAAAAAAAAATCTCTCAAGTTGATTATACGTACATCCGTGGGTTCTGTTTGCACAGGAATGCTTATTGTTACCATGTTAGCACTTTCCGTAAGACCCTCGTTTGAAGTGGTTGAAGTTGGCAGACGAATGGTTGAGGAAGAAATTGCCAAATCAAGTGGTTCCAACACAATAGATGATTCAAGTGATGCTACGGATGGTAAACTAACAGGAGAAATTGTTGTAAAAGGTAAGGCTCGAAAACGTGAAGTAGGAATAAAAGGAGTGGTCACTTGCGATGTGACAGGTAATAAAGAAGTATCATCTACTCTTCTTATGAAATGTGGAGACAAAGAATTATATTGTATAAATCGCGGTGGTTCAATATTTTGTAAAAATGAAAGATTATTATTGAGATTTTGGTTAGGTAAACTTTGCAAAGAATAAGGACTGAAAAAGTTAAGATCAGAACTATGAAAGATCGGGACGATTTGTGGTCTGAAATTTGACCGCAACAATGGTTGTCGATGTCTAAAGAAATCAAAAGTGAATGGACCAAGGTGAGGTATTTCGCTTGGAATATCTTGCACACTAATATTAGAGCCCTGTAACGTGAAAAATGTTGGATTATAACAAGGTTCTAGAGAATTATTAAGTTGTAAAGGTTGACTTTGTTGTGTGGAATTTCGTTGCGTTGTATTATGTGATGGTTCGTTAGAATTTGACATATTTTGTCGATTTTCCATCTTATTCGTTACGGAAAAAAAAAATATATTAAACGATTGAGTAAAAAGAATGTAAAAAATTAAAATCTCTTAAAATTTGAAAAAAAGGTTCAATTCATTTTCTATAAAAATATCTCGAATGTCCAAATTCAGATTCAAATAATACTTTAACAAAGGACCAATTAAACCTATTATTATTCATTACACTTCTCTTGACAAAACAATACATCTCAAAGTTAATTATTTTATTTATCTTGATTTATGTCGATAAATTATCCCCTCGATTTTAATGGAAAATAATGAAATTCGTGCAAAAACTTGTATAATTGAAATTTAATAACTTTTTGTAAGACAATACCGATCCTGCGGAAAGACTCATCAAAATTTCTAAATTAAGGTTGTAATACCATCGGGAATACTAATTAACCCCTTTTCCGGGGGGATATTTTTTTTTTTTTAAAAAAAAAAAAAATTTCTTTTTTCTGGACGACGGCAAGGAGTTTGACATTTTGTCGGATTATATATATAACCTTGAAAAAGGTGTGGAATGTTTAATAATTTTGTTAATTTATTTGTGTTTAAAAGGGGTCATAACATTTTATTGACCACCATAAATATTACGAATAATCTTGTGTGTAATAAAAATTGGATTTATCAACGCCGTTATGCTGCTATAGGATTTTTTACGAAAAAGTGAGTTTTGTAAATTTTACATTATAATACATGTCATTACTTGATCATTAACTTGTTTTTTTTTATTTTATCATTATTAAATGACGTTCTTTTAGCTATAAATATCAGCACACGTCAAGTAAGTGTTATTTTAACTTTTTTTGGTCGTGACATTTTATTGAAAATCACGAGACTTGTCATGATTTTATTCGACATTAATCAATTTCGAAAATTTTATCATTGCAGAAACCAAAATGACTATTAAAACGTCAAAGCCCATTCCTGAATTTCCCACCTTTGGTCTACTTCCAAAAGAGGTAACTATCTTGATTTTACGCGTTTTTACATGAAAAAGAAAAAAATTTTAAAACTTTGATATATTTTTTTTTATCTTTCAACGCATCTACCATTATACAGGAAACTGAAGCTGCTGCTTTTATGAAAAAATATACTGAATTTGATGGTCGTGGAACTGTAATTGCTATATTGGATACAGGTGTCGATCCTGGTGCAGTAGGTCTACAAGTAAGACCTCAAAAGTTTCGGATCTGATAATTATTTTCAATTCTTAACTATTTCAATATTTTTAATAAAACTTATTATTAAGAAAACTACTGAAGGAAAACAAAAAATCATTGATATCATTGATTGTACTGGTTCCGGTATTTATAGATTATTTTTTTTTTATCTTTACATGTTTTAAATTTAAATCGATCTCGTATTGAAATCGTACTTTTATTAGGTGATGTTGTTACAAAAACTATCATGAAACCATGTGTAAAGAAAGATTCTAAGGAGACCTTGTCCACCATACAAGGGTTATCAGGTCGAACGCTTATCATTGATCCAACTTGGGACAATCCTTCCGGCGAGTTTCATGTTGGCGTAAAGAAAGCTCACGAACTATTCCCGCAAAAATTAATCACAAGATTAACAAAAGTACCCATTATGATTCATGATTATTAGTTCTCGGATTTGTTTTGTTTGTTTTTTAATTATTTGACTTAAATTCAGGAGCGTCGTCACAAATTTGAATCTGAACATCATAAACTTCTTGCTGAAGTGCAACAAAAGCTCGCTAATTTGGAGGAAACACACACTTCATCAACACCGACAGAAGCTGATATTGCTATTAAATCAGATCTTGAAGCTAGGGTTGAAGTTCTTAAAGATGCATTAAAGAATTATGATGATCCAGGCATCATTTTAGATATAGTAGTATTCAATGACGGAAGCGATTGGAGAGTTGCAATTGATGTGGATGAATGTGGCGACTTACGAGGTGAATTATCATTGAATTTGATGTCTTGCTTGCACCTTTCTTCTCACTAGTTGAATTAAACATTTCTAAATTAAAATTAGGAGTACCACTTTTAACTGATTATCGTAAGGAATATCAATATCAAACATTTAGTCAAGAGGACATGCTTAATTACTCTGTTAATATTTATGATGATGGGAATATTGTCAGGTAGCCTTTTAAAGTATTTCTTGTGATTTCTATACCTAGCTTGTATGCTGACTAAAATCCTCTAAAAACTTTATAGTATTGTCACACTAGCTGGCGATCATGGAACGCATGTTGCTGCTATCACTGCGGCAAATCATCCCGACGATCCAGCACTAAATGGGGTATTTAATATTCAAAGAAAAGTTTAGATATTTAAAATTAACATAACATAGTAATAGTAATAATTTGATAAAAAATTTCATTTTCCTCGTAATATACTTAGGTCGCTCCAGGTGCACAGGTAAGATAATGTCAAAAGGAATTTTCACGTGAATTAGGATGAATAACGAGTTGAATTCTAAATTATAAATAATCACGAGTAGATCGTTTCTCTTAAAATTGGTGATACTCGTTTAGGAAGTATGGAGACAGGAGTTGGATTGGCTAGAGCGGCTATAGCACTTGTTGAGACTAAATGTGATCTTGCTAATATGAGTTACGGTGAACCATCCTCCGACCCGGACTCTGGTCATTTTCTTTATTTGATTCGTGAAGTGGTCAGCAAATATGGATGCCTTTTCATATGCAGCGCTGGAAACAGTGGACCCGCTCTGAGTACTACAGGATCACCCGGTGGTACATCAAGTGGTAAGCACTATAATGAATAATATAGTTGTGGGATGTCCCGTCGTCTTTTATTAAAAAAAACTTTTTAGACATGATCGGTGTTGGAGCTTATGTTAGTCACTCAATGACTCAAGCCGAATATGCTCTCCTTGAATCTGTTCCTGAACGAGCCTACACGTGGAGTTCTCAAGGCCCTTGCACTGATGGTTATATGGGTGTTACAATATATGGTCCTGGAAGGTAATTATAATATTCGATGTTATGTTAATTCCACTTATCAAATTCGTATTAAAATTTTTATATTTTATCAAATAGTGCTATAACGTCAACACCCGTCTATAGTTTGACAAAGTCCCAATTAATGAATGGTACATCGATGTAATGTCATTATCACATCATTTTAAAAATGGTTTCCCATAATTATTTCTTGGCTAATTACAATACTTATATCTGACGTTCTATAGGTCTTCCCCTAACGTGACAGGATGCATTGCATTACTTTTATCTGGTCTCAAAGCTGAAGGCAAACTGTACACACCATTCAGGATTAAAAATGCCATTGTAAACAGTGCCAAAAAGCTTAATGAGAATTTTGGAGTAGGATTCATCCAAGTACAAAAAGCATGGGATTATCTTGTTACTTATTATGATCGAGAAGATCAAGATATCTCCTTCGAGGTAAAACCTTGTAACTTAAATGTAAGGATAGTTCACAAAAACTATATCATTAATAATATGTTTACGTAGGTTAAATTACCAAATAAGCGTGGTATTTACTTGAGAGAAGAACATCAGACTTCAAGTGCTCAATTAATTGGTGTAACTGTTAAACCAAGGTTTATGCAAGAAATCGAACCAACTTCAGGAGAAAACAATATGAAGAAATTTGAATTTGAAACTCGATTGGCGTTAGTTAGTACACAACCTTGGGTTCGTTGCCCGGATTTCTTGTTAATGGGCAGTAAAGGTAAATGTTAGAGAAATCATATATAATTTCGATCTTTGAAATCAAATTTGCTTGGTATATTAAATATATTTATACAGGAAGATCCTTTGATGTCAAAGTCGATCCGACACAATTAAACCCTGGCGAATTTGATTATGGTGAAGTTCAAGTGAGTAAATTGCATTAATATTTGCTTTGTATAAATCCTTTTATTTAAATTAAATCTTTTTATTTTAGGGTTACGATACAACTTGTCCGGATCGTGGACCTTTATTCAGAGTACCAGTTACTGTTACCAGGCCTATTATCTTATCTAATGGTTCTAAGGTGACCTTTGATAACTGGTCATTTGGTCCTGGCCATATCGAAAGGCGATTTATCAAGGTTCCTGATGGTGCAACATTTGCTGGTAAACATATTTTTATTTTATCGTCCATAAATTTTTTTTAATTAATTTATTTTAAAAATATATCTATTTTTTTTTCTTTGTCTCACTTCTCAGATTTGACTATAAAGTTTTCAACAACTAAGCCCACCTCGCCAGCACGCTTCCGGTTACATATGATGCAATTATTACCACAAAAAAGATTCACAAGTCATGAAGTGGCAAATTATTTCTTCCTTGGTCAGGGTAGTTATGGTGATGGTAACGGAGAAGAACAAATCGAGAAAAAAAGATTTGCTGTTCGTGGAGGAATAACATTAGAGGTATTTAATATTATTTGAAAGTATAAATAAGTTTCTTTAATTTTATAACGAGTTTATTCGTAACACATAATAGGTTTGTCTAGCCCAATTTTGGTCCAATTTGGGAAATCACACGGTATCGTTAGACCTTACTTTTCACGGCATTCAAATTGCTAATAATACAACTAATGGTGGAGATACTATATACATCAACGGCGGTGATGCGTTCACTCGGATAGATGTTGTGGCGCCAGTTCGAAGGGAGGATGAAGTCAATCCTTCGATTATGTTAGGTGATTATTTGTTTCTTTACATTATCGATTCAGAATTGATTCGTCATAAAATAAATGAATGAATGAATGGATTTCTTTTCATGCTTAGATGTTCTTCGCAGACATTTGCGCCCAGTTGAATATTCATTGAAACCATTGAGTCCTGATCGAGATGTACTTCCAAATTCTCGAAGAGTGTACAGTCTTACGCTAACCTACAAGTTTAATACAACCGAAAAGAACACAAACGTTTCACCTAAATTCCCTGCTTTCTCTAATTTATTATATGATTCTTATTTTGAAGACTTCTTTGCAATCGGTAAATATATCTTTTTTTTTGAATTGGGATTTTGTATTAGTATTCTTACTCATTTATTTTTTTTTTAATAGTATATGATTCGAATAAAAAAGTTCTTGGTTATATTGATATTTATGACAAGAATATTAAGTTAGAACTCAAAGGAGATTATGTCATTCAGGCTCAAGTACGTCATCATTCTCCAGAACTCTTGGAAAAACTAAATAATACAGTATGCTTCTTGGAATCCAATCTTTCGAAAAAAATTAACCTTGAAGTATACAATCACATATCTGAAGTGTTTAACTCAAATAAATCAACGGCTAGCAAACGTTCCTTGGAGAAAGGTTGTAGAATAGCATATTTCATTGGATCACCATTTGATTATTCTATTTATCCTAAAGAAGCTAAAACTGGTGATATATTAGTTGGAAAACTTAACTTTGTGAATTCGATTAAGGTTGAGGGTGGTCAATATATCGTCAATTTATTGGTTCCACCTGCTCCTGCTAAGGTTAAAGATTCTACACCAAATGGAGGTGGAGATGATGGAAAAGAAAGTTCAAGCAATGGTGAATTTAATGAGGCTTCTAAAACCGAGAAAACCAAAGAAGAAAAGGCGGCTGACAATTTAACTGAAGCTATTCGTGACTTACAAATTTCACATTTGAAAAAATTTCCGGTTGAATCTAATCAACGTGCTGAATTACTTGCAGAGCTAGAAAATAATTATCCAACACATTTACCAATCTTTTTGACCAAACTTGAGTTATTATTAGAATCTGATACCAGCAGTGGGACTATGTCTCCCGAAACTGCTAACAAAGTTTTGGAAGTTGCAGATGAAATACTAAGTAAGATCGATTTAAGAGATTTAGCCCAATATTATGGCGTTAAACAAGAAACAAATATTAATGAAGCAGCTAAAAAGAAGAAGAAAGAGTATGATGAAAACAAAAAGGCAGTCATATCAGCTCTACGTGCGAAAGTTCATGCGTTGGAAGTTCTTGCAAGTGAATCATCACTATCATCTAATGTTGCGGCAGGACAATTTGAAGATACTTATAAGGCACTTGCACAATGGTGGGATACAACAGTACCAACTTTAGATTTTAAAAATTTACTTGTTTACATTATTCGTGAACGTCGCGCAGGACGATATGGCAATGCACTTAAGGCACTTAATAAGTATTTGAATGATATCAGTCTCACTAATGATACTTTAAAAGATTTCGAAAAAGCATTAGGGATAAAAATGGAATTATTTAAAGAAGCTGAATGGACCATTTGGGAAAACTATGAAAGGAAGACAAAGCTTATTAGAATCCCTCCGGGTGGTTACGCACCATTTTAATGTTACATTTTATGATTTGTTTAAAATAAAATACAACTCAATATTTAGTTTTTAAGTAATTTGAAAATTTGAAAGTTTCTAAATTTTTCACTCATGGGAAATTAACGGTTAATTAACCGGTTAATTTTGAGCACTATACAATACTAAATATAATAAAAAAAAAAAGTTTATGTCATGTCTAAGGTTACACGAGGTTTCCCGCTCAATAATTGAGTCGATGCTGATTGGCTCTTGCAATTGCACAAAAATCTAGATAAAGTTCCGGACTTAACAACGGGTCCCCGTCCTAGTTATTAACCGATCACATGATTAAACATTATAGTCGCACGGTTTTTTTTATACGCGACCGTATTTTTTTATTTTACTTCTTGCGCGTAATAGCATAACTTACGTTAACATGACAACCGAAGAGTCGGTTCTCAATTCCTTTTTACTCAATAGTGAACTTACAGATAACTTAACTCTCAAACAATTCATTAACCTTTTTCCTATAGCATACAGGTAAACAAACTCCAAATATTTAGTAATTAAACCACTTTACAAAGAAAATTAATTTTATTCTTAATCATATTTATAGAAAAAATTCTCTTATCAAAACTTTATATAGAGAATTTCAGTTGGAACGTAATAGAATTAGAGAAACCATAAAAGATAATATAGTTGAAGAGTGTAAAAAGCTTGAACAATGAGGTAATCTTGATAATGATAACATGGAAATAGATGACGATGATGATATGGGTGAAATTCATGATGAGGTAGATATGTTGGCTTACATTTTCGTTTTTATGATGGTTTAGATTTTTATTTGATATTAATATTAAAAAAGGTTGATGATAATCGGCTAACATTGGAACAAGCTATTGAAACTTTGGCTGTAGCCGAGAAACTAATGTCACGTGAAATCAATAAAATGAAAGAAGATTGTAAAAGATCCTTTGAAAAGATCGAAAAGTATTTATATTATAAGATTCATTTCTTTAAAATATTTATGAATCCTCTAATATACTTATATTGAAATTACTTTGACAACTAAAAAAACAGTATTAACAATGAATTGAATGATGTGGTATATGGTAGAATTCCAAAAGGAGGTATTGGTCAAGCCGATGATATTGAGAGATTGAAGGTAACCTTGCACGCTTGTTTAGTTGACACTGATGAATTTCAACCAATGGATGTTTAGTCTTACAGTACTTTTCTCCTTTGTATTATCTAGTTATTATCGAGATCATGTGATGAGATTCTGATTTCTTCAGGAAATTGATAATTTGTTTAATATTTTTTTTTTTTTTTCAAGTTTGAATAGAATTTCTTTATTGCTAATTTATAGAGAATGCAGCGAGTTTATATTGTATATTACTTTTATTAAAGTAACACCTTAACCGAAAAAGTAAACAAATAAAAAAATAAATAATTTTTTTACGTATAGATTTTAAGAAATGCAAATACTGATTTGATTGGCTGGTATAATTGATTACGTTTTGTACATAGTAAAAATGAAACGTGGGGTGACAGATAATTCGAGTCCGCGCTTTAATAAGGTTACAGAAAGTACAAAATAAGAACTAACATATCTAGCAGCTGGATAAGAATAAATTAAATTCGACTTGTAAAATTTTCCTTTATCACTTACTGAATATCCTTTTTATATATGTCATTTCCCATGATGTCATAAACTTGACAACGTTTTCTATAAAGAACTGGTTAATATAAAAGTTTCAATTCATCATAAGGCTTGCCCCTAACAGAAAAACGTATTAGCTTGTAAGGTTTCAATAACTATAAAATACTATGGGAAAATTGAAAACCGACTATTTTAATAATATGATACTTTATCAAACATGCATGATTTGTTTTCTCTCATTTAAGAATCCATCTTCATATTTGTCATGAGAAATACGTGTAATAAACTATTTATCTGAAGCAGTAGTATTTTCTCTATTTTTTATATAAATGATTGTTAGTATTAAGAATTCATGAATAAAGTGAATTATCCAAAACGCGTGAATCAATTCTCTTGAAATATTATATTCTTTCTTTACGAGGTGAGGGTTGCTAAGAAAATGAGCCTAGCAAACCTCCCAGATAATAACAACTTTGATAATTAATAAACAGTAAACATTTCAAGTATGATTGTTAAAATTTCTTTGTAACGATAAGTAAATCTAAATTTATTTAAGCAATATACAATTTTCGCTAAAAAAATAATAGAAACTCTCCCTTCGTGATTGACTTTTCACCCTCATTAATTTTGCTATTGAATCATTTCTTGAAAATTACTCTTAGATGTCGTTTGTTTAAGCATTCCTTCATCGTTCGAATTGACTTGTTGAGGATCTATTACAGGTTCCGGTTCAACTTTTCCACTTTTAATTTTTTCCGGATTCAATGAATTACCTCCACGATCATGGTGATGTTCGGGTTTAAATTGCAAATTAGCGTTTTTACTGACATCAGTAACACCAAAATCATCATCATCAGTATTGTGAGGATTATAGAAATTATCTTCATCACGAATACGTTGTATGGCTTGATATGATCTACCGATTATATTTATGGTAAGCGTTATACAAGACGAAATCAGTGTTAACAAAGGTATTATATTATAATAGACAACATTCTGGTAATATAAAATCTAAAATATTATTAGAAAGGGTAAAAAAAAATTATTTTAATGAATTAAAAAAAAGAGACACACTATTATTATATCACTTACTTGAAACGTTACTTGAGGTATATCTTCAACGACAATATCTAAACAAGCAGCCCAAAAAATCATTGTTACGGCATTTTCACTAAATTTAGCTTTAAACATGTCGAGATCTGCGATATTGCTTTGTAAAATATTTAATGCTTCAATATCGGCACCTGCTAACAAAGTAAAGGCCGATACAACTTTCATATTCTGATGTGACCAATTTTTAAATTTCAAATTTTTCAAATTTTCTTCCGTTATAATATAAAATGCTAAGATAATATTTAATGTTGTTGGTATTATTAATATTATAAGACTATTGAATTGTGAGCGTAGGAGGAGAGAAAATGATATTAGAAATCTTTTTTTAAAAAAAAAACATGTATATGCAAGTACTTACCTTGGAATGTAGAGCCATTCTACATCTCGAGCACTTTTAGATAAGAAAAGAATATCCAATAAAAAATCAGATATGATCAATCCAAGTTGTAATATAGCAAGGTTATATGCCTAAATGAAAAAAAAAAAAAAGAATTAATTAATCAGAATTGGATTAGATATTTTTTTTTTTTTTTTTTTTTTTATGAAAAGAAAAAAAAAAAGATTTTACCCTTCGTTTGGAATTTTGTGCCCTTCGTTGAGCCGTTAAAAAGAGGATAACAAATGCAGTAAAAACAAAAAGCATTCCTATCAAACTTAACCGAATTTCTTCCCAATAATTGGCTATTTAAAACAAATTTTTTTTATCAACCGACGACAATTTGTGATCTAAAAGTTACAAAAAAAAAATGCGTCGTAAACAAAAAATTTACTTACGAAACGGCTTATAACCATAATTTTCATCCAAGTACTTGGAATTTTCACCTTCAGCAAGAGAAGTAATAAATTTATTTACAATCAAAGTATTTAAATCTTCAACAGCCAAAGGAACAGTTCTCTCATTATTATCATCAGTAGTTTTAATATCAATAGATAAAATAATTTGTTCAGGAGCCGAGACGTCAATTTGACTATGTTCATTGGAACCTACACGATCCCTACTGATCAGTATAGCATCAGCTAACTCTTCTTGTAGTTTACGAATAAATTTAGCTTTACCATCTTCATCAAGTTTTTCAAAGTGACCAGAACCTTCAGGATTTAATCTCACCCTTCCCTCAACTGATTTACTTTTTTTTTCTTTCATTGGTTCAGTTTGGAAGTACCAAAGACCTTGTCTCACGCCATTTAATGGTTCGTTGAAAGCTTTACTTTTAATAAAATTATTATCCACTTCAACGGTATAATTACCGGGACGATTGAACGTAGGTGCAATGATTTTTATCTTAACACTTTGAGCATTATCAAGTGAAACAAAATCATTATTAAGTCCTTCTGTTCTTTGTCTTAATTTTTTGTCAGATTCTTCCAATTTATATATTGTAACATATCCTGAAGATAAAGTGATAGATTCAAAGAAATTGATTCGAACATGATCTTGAGTTGATTTGATCGTTTCGGAAATTTGTGGAATCGTTGAATCGATTTTGAAATTTTCGTATCCGTGATCTTTTTTTCAGTCGCGTTACCGCAGTAAGTATATAAATACACGTGACTTAATTCGTTAGAAAAAAAATTTTTTGACGTACCACGATCGGATTCGAATTTAATGATATCAACGAGATTTAAAGACCAAACACCAATGCTTTCTTTTTGAGCAATTACTAAGGTATTGTTCTTTAAAATAGTGGTGGACCCAAATAGATTTGTTGGAAAAGATTTAGGTAAATCCCCAAAGTAAACTTTACCATGCTCATCATATAAATACCCGTATAACAAGACATCATCACCTTGTTTTGCGAAGCCACTCATAAAATAACCACCATAAGGCAAAGATCTAATGTTGAACTCTGGGATGGTAACATTTTGAGAAGTAATACTATTAATCGTATTAAATCCAGTTACCGTACCCCTAGATAAAAAGTTGATTTGAACGTAAAATCTTTCATCTAAATCAGTAATATTTACGGTGAGTAAACATACATGACCTACACCGACACAAGCAATGTTACAACTTAATGAAGTAAACTGTATGAATCTTCTTTGCGTTTGATAAAGTACAACAGGATGCGGCGTTTCCTTTTGTTCATAAGATAGAAATACGGCATAGATTTCACCATATGGTTTAAATGGATCATTTGTTGTGTCTTCCATCGTAACGGATGCATCAGATGACGTGTTGGCATATATTATGGCATAACCCTCATCAGTAGTTGATAAAGCAGCGACCTGAGCGGTAAAAAATTTGATTGGGGTAAAGTCTTCGGATAATTTTTTCAATATGCCCGATCCATTCACATGATATTGTTGCCATGTAAGGTTAGTTGAAAGACTTTGTGGACCAAAACGAAGAAATCCTTTAGAAGGATTTATATTAACAATGAACCAAGCGTAATTCGGCCTCCAAACGCCCGTGATAGGATGAAAAAACGCCGAAGCAAGGTAAAGTTTACTATAATCTTTTCCTGTTAGATCTAAAACCATTGCCCATTCTTCATATGTCTCTTGCATGGTTTCATCTGTTGCATTTGTATATGTAACTAATAAATATCCATCTGTTATGGCAAAAAACTGTATAGGAAATTGATATGTTCCTAATTCTTTAAATTTAAATGCACAGTAATTCAATTCTATTGATCCAATATCAACGTCTACTTCTGATAAACTCCCATTTGGATAAATTATACGTAATGATAAAAGTGGATCTGAACATACAAATTCGTAACCGGCTGAAACAAGGAAGGGATATTTTTCTTTTGATAATTTCGTTGCTGTATCATTTCTTCGAAATGTTCGTAAAACCACAGTGCCGTCAGCATAGTTTACTATTTTGCTCACCCTTGGTTCTTTTGGGGATAATAATGGATTTTCACTTTCAAAATGAGTAAAATTAGCTGATTGTGTGGGTGATAAGAAAAACAAGAACAACACCGGAATGATCATTAAGATAAATGAGCTTTTCCTCTTCATATTTTGTTTTGTTTTTGTTTTCGTTTTTATTTTATTTCGTTCTCCAAATTTTTTATTTGGTAAAATATAAGCCACGTTCTTACTTCCTTGACTCTCTCTTTTTATATTTAACTCGGGTGTGAAACCAGCCTGGCTTATCTTATTCGATGAGGCTTTTGCCTTTTAATTTACTGAGATCGATCAAAAAGTAATCGAATCAAAATTTTTTATCTTTACTCGAATTTACCTCCTATCACGGAAGTTTAGTCATGTTGCAACATTTTCTTTAATTTGTTGATGAAAGGTTACCCGGATATTTTCAAATCTTTCAACAAAGTAAAAGTAATCCTTCAAGATTGAAGTGGACGTGATGAGAACCAAGAAAAAAAAAAGAGAGGCATTTTTGCTTTAGGATTGCTCCATGTGAGCAAATTAATACCGCTAAATAAATAAAAAAAACAGAATTTTGAACACAAACAACAAAAATAAAACCTTCTTAATTTAGAACAAATGAATACATACATAAAAAGCAACGTAATCTTGTTTATATTAACGTTTGCTATTAAAGTCATCATTTTGAATCTACTTGTCGATAGAGTCAGAAATCGTTCTCTTTCGAATTTATTTATCTCTAGTATCAAAAAAATTCATTATTATGTAAGAAAAACGAAATAGATAAGATAATATTATTATCAATCAACAAACTCTATATAATCTAATCTTTTATGTTCTAAACTTTAAACAGTTAACAATTTAGGGAATTTCAAACTATATAATAAATGATATTATGTTAAAAGGCATTTACTTGCCATAATCTTGAGATTGATTCATTTCTTGAAATGAAACCTGCGTGTAACCTGAAATTCCTTCCAAATCCGGTAAATTGCAGGTATGAAACCTTGTTTTGATATTATTATGAACCGATTTCTACGTCAAAGTTGCCAATGAATGGTTTCCGAGATCAAATTTTCTTGAAAGAAAATTTTGTATATAAAGCATCTCTTTCATAAAACATAATTTTAATTTTTAAATATTTTACCTCATCTGTACAAAGGTGGTAAACCAACGAACTTGTTGAGAATCTAACGAATGATAAAAAGAACTTCCGGTCGGCTCAGAGTTACAAAATTAACAAAAAAAGAAATTATTTAATGTATTTCATTAATGCATGCATAGACATGCTTTATTTCGTGACGCCGTTGATAATAATGACATTATCAATTAAGTTATACAATTTTATAGTACATTCGACATAAATTACTCCAACAATGAGATACAATATATCTTGCATTCCAGCCTTTGACATGTGCTAATGTTTTATTTAACCGAGCAAAAATTCTAGAGACGAGAGAATCAAGACAAGCGTCGCAACGAGTCTGCGGAGTTCCAGTGGTGACAGTGAAGGAGTAAAAAGCTCATGTCAAGGAAAGTTTTAATGTTGTAGTAATTATCCCACTAAAATTTCTGGGCAATTTTTATTTTTTATTTTTTATTTTTGGCGGGAAAATCTAATCATGTGATTGTGGAAATTTTGCAGGGCGGTTACTTTATTGGATTTTATTGGTGAGCCATTTTCAATGAATATAGTTTGAAACCTGGGGCAAAAAGCTTGCCGCAAATGCAGCCTCTTATGAGAATCATATCGGTTAAACTTTAAAAAAAAAATTTACCATACCATAAAAAAAAGAATTTAATAAATCAATAATATTTTTGGTTAGCAAAATTTTTACGCTTGCATAAATGTGCAGAATGTGCAGTTGACTGGAATTATTGTAACCTTATATCGTATAATGTATCTATTCCATCATGTATGAAATTTTTTTTTTTCAAAAAAAAAAAAAAAAAAAATTTGAAAAAAAAAAAAATTTACAGGAGGTATGAAAATAATTTTTTCTCCGCTATGCCAAAATACTAAAAAAGAATTATTGTACTCCACTTTTTTTTTTATTCTCCAGTTTTTCATTCTAGATTTGGCTTTTGAAGATTTAAGTTGTAATACCAACAATATAAACAAAAAGAAGACAATGTAATTTCACAATGAGAAATAATATGTGGAATAGAGTTTTCGGAATTTCACGATAAAGTAAAATTAAAGATTTTTTTTTTTTTTAAAAAAAAAAAAAATAGAAAGAAAAAAAAAAAAAAAAAAAAAAAAAATATATTGAAACCTTCCATTAAAGAATTAGATTTTCAATCTACAAAGCCATCGTATGAACCTTAAATTTATGACCTATCACCAATTTGAAAATTCTAAATTAAAATGCACCTGAATGTCAATCAAAATACCAAATATGTTGTGTAGGAATCTTGTGCAGGTAAATCGCTAATTGAAAATCTAAACGGTTTGTATTCAAAATTTTTTTTTTTTTTTTTTCCTTTAATCGATCTTTTGTTCCGATGATTTTTTTTTCTTGTGTAATTTACATCAATTTGGCATGTTTTGAGTACCGAATATCGATATCTAAAGGGATTTTATTTATTTATTTTTTTTTTTCGCGAAAGAATTGTATTTTTTTTTTTTTTTTTACTTTTGGGATCATTTGTATCCGAATATTGTTCTTTTTATGGATTTTATAATTAGTCAAGAAAAACATGATATACGTGATATAATGGAACCAGCCGTGAGAAGAATTACGTAATCGACCGTGAGATATTTGACAATTGGAGGGAAATTCACTCAACAGCTTAATAGTCGGGGTTTTAATTTTTATAATTCTAAATTTCGACTTGATGTGGGACATATTGGATCCCCAATAAAAAAAAATTTGGAAAAGCTTGGGGTAAAAAAAAAAAAAAAAAAAAAAAATGACGCCAAAGTACAAGTCTAATTTTAATTAATCGGATTTGGCATGATCAGGTAACGTAAAAATGACAACTCACCTCACGTGCACATAACCTTTCCTGCATGTTCGTAAAAAAAAAAAAATCCATTTTTCTTTTTTTATTTCGCTCGCAGTAAAAAATCTGAATGAATTATGATTGTCATTTTAATTGTTTACTAGTAAATATTTTTATTTTTTTTTCAATTGTAATGAAATGAAATTATGTAATGTTTAAAAAATAAAAGTTCCACAGATCAATGCGGCAATACTCCACATGGGCATATCCAACTGGTTTTTTTTATCTTTAAAGCCCCAAGCCATTAACTGCAAAAGCACAAGTTTTAATTCCTTCAATATAATTTCATGGCAAACACGACTTCCTGATATTGTCACACCACATATGGTGTAACACTGTGTCAATTATAAATTTAGAATTTTTCAGGCACAATTTGCAGAAAGTTTTCTTTTTAACGCAACTCCTCTCCTAACTTTTTTTAAAATATAAAATTTTTTTTTTTCCAATTTTTTTTAATGTCGAAGTCTTTTGGTTGCGAAGAGACGTCATCTTCACATAAAGCAAATATTTCATTAGTCGATCGTAATATCTTTGGTTCTTTAAACATGACCCAACATGCTTGGACCATCGCGGACCTGCCTCATCGTAGTTGGAAGTTAAAGTATTTACCAGATGAATTTCGGGCGGAAGATATAAAGGATGAAAGCCATCCTTACTTCAGTTTATTACAAGTTTTCGACACATTACGGGATACAAGTTATACGACGGATGATATTCCGGTGCTTTCCATATTGGAACCCAAATTGAAACAGATCGGCAAAATCATTGATAAACTGATCGACTTGCCCGGTCCTTATGCAAAGGGCATTTTCGATTTCACGGCCTTGTCAGCTTACGTTCACACCATAAATGACATATGGTCAAAGAAGAATCAACTATATTTAACTCCGATATGGAGGGAACCATTAGGGGGTGCCATAAGTGATTGTTTTGATGGTGAAATAATTGAAATTAATTTTCTCACAACGCTGATTCAGACGAGTATAATATTGGATTGGTGGCTTGGAAAACCTCAATTCGATTTTTGGATCGGCATCATTGACCTAAATTTCGATACATTTCCAACTCAATTAGAGGCCTATGTTCATTGGTGTAAGTTATACACTTTTTTATTTTTTATTATTATGATTCGTCTGATTATTTACAAAATATTTATTAACTTGATGTATTTGTTTATGCTTATTTTTTTTTTTTTTTTTTTTTTTTTTTTTGATTCTTGTTTAAATCCCGTTTTTTTTTCTATTTTTTTTTTTTTTTTTTTTTTTTTTTTAAACAAAAATAATAAAAATAAAACAGACAATGCGGTATTTTTTCCTGACTATAGTGGGGCAAAGCGCACCCAACCGAAGGAAATTGAAAAGAAGGACAATTCAATGTCGGTTGATAATGAACACAGTGAAAGCAGCAGTGACAGCGAGGAGGAAATAGATATTATGGACCACATCGATAAAGAAAAGGAGCAACCCAACAAAAAAATGTTTATGCGCATCCCTCATGTTACTTCCTCTAGTGACGAATGGAGTGGTTCGGATGATTTTTAAGGATCACAAAAAAAAAAAAAAAATGTATATTTATCTTTAAAAAATGTAGTGGTCTGGTTCTACAAACAAATTTGTAACTAATTCAACAAGATGGAAGATTGGAGGATTTTATGTAATTTAGTCACGTGTGGCCATTGTAAAAAATTTTTAAAAAACGCATTCTGATTCCGCGAATTATCTCAAACATCAAAAATGCAATCATTGCATACAATAAAAAACATCTAGTTTATCATTAAAAAAAAAAAATTAAATAATATAAAAAAAAAAAATAATATAAAATAAAAAAATTTTCTTTCTTTACAACTCTTAACCAACGATATTTTAAAAGTATCACAAAAATTATTAAAAAATGTTGATCTATTTTTTCGAACAATATTTTGATTAAAAAATCAAAAGATTTTTTGAAAAAAAAAAAAAAAAAAAAAAAAAAAAAAAAACTTGATATATTTTTTTGGGCAAGATTTGATCAAGAAAAAAAAAAAAATCATGAAGACAAATGATAATAAAAAACAATTACACTTGTAAATCGTTCCATTCCACAATTTTAACGTTTTTTACTATTGTTATCAATTTAAATTGATCTTATTTATCTATTAATATAAAATATATATTTGATTAATAACTGTCAAATGTTTCACAAATGTCCCTAGCCAAGAAAACAATGCGCCAATTGAGACATTCCAATTTTTTTTTTCTTTTGCTTCTGAGGAAATCTTTTTTTATTCAATTTTGATGCGCAAGAAAAGTTGTACACAGAAGAAAAAAAAAAATATAATAACATCTCGTTTAATTAAAAAAAAAAAAATAAAAAAAAAAAGAAAGGAAAATAAAAAAAAAGGTTCTTATTGATTGGATTTTAATTTTGATAAACCTGCAATAATCATCAAGAATCATCAAGATAACAGAATTAAATCACAATTTATGTAATACAAGAAGAAAAAAAAAATAAATAAATAAAATCACAAAAAAAAAAAATTTATCTTTTTATCATCCAGATCATAATACAGTTTACTACATATTTTATTTAATGTACAAATAACTTAATTTAGCAAACTTTTATTTTCGTTTTTCATGTGATAATGAGAAGAATTGTTATTTACTTAATTTAAAAAATCCACTAGAATTTTTTGGGTTTAAATTTTTTCATGCGATAAACAGGAATTTTTTTTTAAAAAAAAAAAAAAAAATCCGTCGGAAATACACGGATTAGATAATGAAACATTGCGAAAATTCAAAAAAAACGAGTTTCCTTTGGCATTGTTTCTTTTTTTTTTTTTACGATTGAATAGGAAAAGTCTCTTATCGTGTGTAATTGTATCACGCGTGATGCCTACAATTTGGAAATAGATTGACTTGACGCGACGAAATTTCTCCATATAATATTTTTTTTCTATTTGAATTGTTTTGTAAAAGAAAATTAAATAAATGGATAAAATTTAATCACGATATATCAATTTTGAACAATTTCTCGATACAAGGGAAAAAAAAAGAATTGTTTTCAATATTTTTCGGATCCTAATTAAGTACTTTAGAACTGTCCTTCACGGGAATAGACGAATAAAGAACTATTTATTTTTAGTCTCTCGATTCTTGTTAAAGAAATCGTTTCGAAACGTTAAAAACTATTTTCCCAATCTTACTTTGTGAATGAAACGTGAATTTAGGCTAGTTAGAATTACGGTTGAGAATTTTGTGTTTACATGTAAAAACAAAAAAATAGCTTTAATTAGCATTATTAACAAGCTGGGTTAAACGTTATGATTCGTATCAAAAATCTACTTCGAAGAGGTTGGAATCTAATTTCTTATTTTATTGTAAGAAAAAAACAATTCAGAGAATTCTCTTGCCGAGAATTCATGGTGGATGTCCATGTCTTATTACAGAATAATAAAAAAGAAATAGATAAATTTATTGAAAGCTCAAACTTTTTTAATAAGCCATTCCGTAATAAAATTGCTAACTTGGAAACATCTATTGGACTGAACAAATGGTTTTTTTTTTTTTTTTTTTTTTTTTTTACGTTATTTAATGATTTCTTTCTTACCACCTTTTTTTTTTTTTTTTTAATCATTCATTATTATATTTCTTTGAAGATATTTTTTTTAATAAAAGGAACTTTAGTCGACGACATCTTTGCCCTTCAGTGCAATATTTGAGGTGGCGGTGATAAATCTGCAGCGCTATAAGAATTGTTATTTAAAGTTCACAGCTGTTGAACCAAACAATACTTTACTCTCGCGAAATGAATCAGCCGTTCCAGTAAACTTATATACAGTAATCTTTTTAAGGTGAATGATTATTAGGGAATGACATGTAAAACGTAAAATAAGGTAAGCTTCGTTGTAATATCATTTAAAGCTTATAAAATACCGTCTGCTGAATTTTTTTTTCAAATAGATTTCAGGTAAAATTTCTTAATACTCATTTGACAACTGTCGAAGATTATTTTCAGGATTTGGCAATTTCTGCTTGTAGTTTGAAGATATGAGCAAGACATTAATAAACCGACCTCAAACCCGATCAATAATTATAGAATGATTATCATGTTTTCTTTAAACTTCTTAAAATACGAAAGGATCGAGAACGTTTATAAAGGCTCTTCTATTAGAACGAAAACATATTCGAATAGGAAGATTTTTTTGAAAATGCCAGTGGATGAAATGGAGGAAGAGTGTCGGTCTAGTGACAACAGCTATCTATGGAGGGTAGGAATATTCATTTGAAAAAACTATTCTGTGCATGTATTTTGATCACGTGTTGATAATTTCAAGATTTTTGGGTCCTATCTTTTTCCCTATTTACCACCTAATTCATCAATTGTTGCCTTTGGTACAGGTAATTTTCAACAAGTTCTCGTGGATATCAGTCGAATATCATAAGCGCTATACAAATGGCATTGCTGTTATGTGGATTTTCGATTAAACTCATGAACCTGGTAAGTTTTATTAAATACTTTATATTCCCTAATCGCATTATAACCTTCTTTTTTATTTAATCCAAGATGTTGGTCTCATAATTCGCAACATTGTCAGCCTTCCTTAGCTGAAAATGCAGTGTTGGTCGAGATTGGACTTAGTGAACTTGCCGAATGTGCAGGCGAATGAATAAAAAATTCCTGTAGTGGTATATTTTATGAATATGTTGTAAAGGAATTGCTAATCCTAGAAATGTCTAACCATTTTAGATCCTGAAAAGTTATTAATAACTCGTATTAAAAAAAACATTATTTTAAATGGTTCAAATTAATTGATTGATCTAATGTAAATTTTTTTTTTATTAATGTTTCATTAAATTATGTCAAAAAAAAAAAATAAAATAAAATATTGCTCCGTGTGAATCGATTTCTCTTAAAATTTACTTTCAATCCTACCTTTTATAAAAAAAATTGATTGTAAAAAGCCAAAAAGATTTTTATTTTGAATCTGCAGGCTAGGTAAACTTCTCGATTATATGTGATAATTTCATCAGATGTATTTAATTTTCGGCATCCTTTTATTTCATCCTTCTCAATACGTTTGTCATCATCGGATTATTTGTGATTTCCCGTTTACCAATAAACATGCAATTTTAATCGTTACCAAAACGTGTCAAACAAGATGACTTGGGTGCAACTAAAGCGTTTCAAGATTCACCGTAAAATTGGTTGTTGCGGAGCCGCCAATCGGTCTCGCATCGGGCCCGATCGGGATCGGAATAAGCTACATGACAAATTTGTAAATTATGGTATGCATTCTTTAATGTTATGCATTTTGTTGGATATTCATTCTTTATTCATTCTTGAATGTTGCACTCTTTAATGGATTAAAATGTCCATATAAATGCAAATGGTAAAAAAAAAATCTTGTGCTTGTGATTTGCATTTCGTTGCGTGCCTTATTTTAATTCGCTTCATTGGATGATTAAAAGAGCCTCTCTGCTTCTATAAAATCCGTTTCGGTTAAGCTTGTATTTTGGCCTGATTATTGATCAGTTCAGTGGTCAAATCATGTTGCTTGCATCTGAACATTTGAAATTTTGTAAGCAACTTTGAACCATAAATAAAATAAAAAATAAATAAGCATGCAAATATTTATGGGTTTATTATCAATTCAAATTTCACGCTCTTGGAGTAAAAAGAAAACTCTTATATTTATTTATGCTTGCCTTTTCTATCGATGGAAATTTAATGTTTATATTGATATTTATGTTAGTCAAAGGATGAGATTTACTCATAATTGTCTTCATTTTTTTTTTTTAAAAAAAAATTGTGCTTTTACATGCTTGTTTTGTTTTGTTTATTCATTCTTCTCTTTTCCAAAATTTATTACAAAATAGATAAATAAGTAGTTTAAATAATTGAACAAAATTCGTCATTTCATTTTGAGTTTTGAATTTATCCATCTTTAGTCAAAACCGAGATTAGTCACCCTTGTGAACCATTCTTGTGAACCACTAAAAACCAGAAAATATTTTTAAATCCCAAATGGGGAGTAATTCTGTTCAAAGATCTTCACCATAATTCGTTTTATACACGTACTGAAAAAAAAAAACCAAAAATATTTTTTTTTCCGGTAACCACAAAAATTGTCGCTTTACATCATAACAACAAAGTCCAACCTTGTCATAAAGGTAAGAAAGACGGTAATTTTTCCTAGTATCTAAATGAAACAGCTGTTGTTTGTGTAAATCAAGGTTTTGTAGAAAATTTATATAAATACCACAAATCTTTTTTTAAAACAAAAATAATTTTTTTCTTTTGTTAAAACAATATTTTGTCTCTCAAATAGTATTTCTTATTAAATAACATGGAACAAAACAACGGGACGCATCTAAACGTTAAAGCTTTATTATACTTTGCCGTTATGTCGGTCTTCCTAAGAGCATCGCTGGTTGGTCCCGCAAACATTAACTTGAATCCACGCTTGTTGGCGAAAAATTAGTTTACCACATCAAAACCATCTTTCATACCGAGTCTTGAATTGCCCGAGAAAACTAACGACGGTGTAGAATTTGATCGAGTTGCTGGACTTTTATCGACGACAACGATGGATAATAACGTCTTTGGTGTAATATTAGCAGCTCTTCTAAATGATTTATAAAGGATTTATTCTTTCTAATCGAAGAATTAAAGATCGCCTTACAAGCTAGATGATGTTTCCCCGGAGGAAACTCAAGCTTTCTATCGTACGGACAATTAAATCTTTAACACTTCGTTTTAATAATAATTAAATATGCTTTTATTTATTTTTTTTTTTTTTTGCAATCTCGTAATTTCGAAAATCATTACATTCCTTTTGTCTCGAGCTTTTAATAATATATATTTACTTCTACAGAAAATTTTGAAACTTGATTCCTTAATTTATATAAAGAATCAATTGATTTAAACCACAGCAATTTTTAAATAACTTAGAAAACCTTTATTCTTGGTATTGCTCAATTCGGGTTGTGCTCGTTTCTGAGATTCTTTCAAGGTTAATTTCAAAATATTTTAATGAAATAAACAATTTTTTTACTAGAATACCAATCTTTGTCTGCAATACAAAATTTATAATTGCATTTCATATAATTTGTAAATATAATTAATAGTAAACGAAGTTGTGAAACCTTAATTAATAAAAGATTATTTAGGGTTTGAAGTGAAACTAGTTTAGGAATTCGTCAGAAGAATTAGGCAAGAATTTTTCCATTGGTCTTTTATTTTAAAACTAATTAATTACTTTTTATGAATTAATTATGACAGCCCATTCGGACAGGAGCGAGTTTCTCATCATTTTCATCATCGAAAAGAACCAATTGTTAACTCTTTCTTTCTTATATGATTTTGTTTTTGGGTCGACCTGGCAGATGGACTAATTAAATCAAAACTATATGAAAATTTACTATTTTCATAATTAGCTTATATAAATTGAAATTTATAAGAAGTTTCCTATTCAATTGATGCATTTTCACACTTTCATAACTTTGAGTTCTTTGATTTTTCTTTCAAAATTCTGCGATAATATTCCAATTAAGGTTCACAATTTGGAGATAATAAAGAACTACTTTGAGAACTATTCTCTTATAAAAAAAAAGTTTTTATCACGAGTGTTTTCAAAAAGTGAGGTATTCCATTATTCTTAAAGTTATTATGCACCTATTTAATTCAAAATGCTACCAAAGAAAAGTCATCAAATTTTAAATTTTCGGATTTTTTAATGGAAAAATGCCTCCAATTTCAAAACGTGTCCGCGATATGAAAAAAGCACGTAAATTACACGCCCAAAGAATTAGAGGCAAAGAAAAAAAAATAAATGAAATTGTGATGGACTGGAAAAAGCACATTTCTCAAAAATGTAATTCATAAAAAGAAGACAAGAAAACATATTTGGCGAGGACCAGGCTTTACATCTCTTTAAGCAAGTTTGAAAATGATAAATTCTGTAAGATAATGCTAGTTATTTAAATAAAAATATTTAGAAAGAAATTCATGTAGAATTTTCATCATTCTCGTGTAAATTCCAATCAAATTCTCCGAATTCACGTGCCACCCAACGTTAACCTGAAGATAAATAGCCCTCCTTATACTACTTCCTGTTTCTAAAATAATTTAATAAAAATCAAAAGAAAAATAAAATAAATTATGAAGGCTATTCCTAACCTGCCAATAAAGACGTCATTTAAATTTTGAAACCCCCATTCGAAACCCCCTTCCCCTTTAAAATGACATCATTTCTGGTAACTACCAATATAACAGTACAAATTTTTTTCGTTCATTATTTAGTGGCTTTTAAATTTTTTTTTTTTGAAAAAAAAAAACAATTGAACACTTTAGCCGTCATGGCTAAAATTTATGAATAATTATAGGTAATTGCTGCAACTTTACAATTACTATGATTTTGAAGTAATCTATGAAGTTATTAAAGTTATTATAAAATCAAATAATTAATAATTATAAGTTTTTTTAATAGTATATTAGAAGCTATTTATAATTTATATAGATTATAAATAATAATATTATTTAAGTCAAGTAATATTAAGCTATTTAGTATAATTTAGGTACTTAATTGCAGTAACACTAATAATAAAATTTTAATTAATTTCACTACAGATTAATTTTAATTAAACTTCAATATAATATCTTAACTTTTATGTTAAAAAAAGAAATTATAAATTATTAAATATTACATTTTTAAAAAAAGTAAGGAAATATTGCAACTTAAATGTTTAAAATTGAAAATATCTAGAAAAGTATCTGGTCAGATTTCTTAAATTCTCAAGATCAGATATATTAACCAACTAAAATTTTTAGATAAACCCTGATTTTAATGATATTATATGTATATTTATATTTGTATACAAATACATATATTAGTTTAATAAATATAAACATAATATTAAACTAAAGTATATCTTTAAAAATATTAAAAGGTATTAATAAAATTGCTTAATATACTAATTTCAGAATAAATTAAATGTTAAAAAATCAGAAAATCAATTTAATTAATAATAAATATTTTATACTAAAATAAATTATAAAAGTATATCAAATAGAACTAAAATATCAAAAATAACTCAAAAAATATTAATTGTATTTGCATCAAAAATTTTTAAATAAGAAAATCATTTTCAGCTAACTAGATACTTTTTGAGGTTAATATATTATTAAATAAGGTAAAATTTTATATATTATAGAAAAGTAATTAAAATTTTTTATGCATTTTTTTATTTTATTAAATTTATATATAATTAAAAACTTTTATTTATATTTTACTAATTCTAGTAAAGATAGCTTTGTTTTTAAAAAATTATACATAATCATTTTTTAATTATTATTATTATTAGTTTCAACAATCTAAAAATTTTTAAGAAAATAACAAGAAAAGCTAGCAGATTTAATATATGAAAAAAAATACTTCTAATTTAATAATATTAATCAACTAAATAAATACTAAATTTATATTAAGATATATAAAAATATATGTAAATATTGATAAAAAATTTTTAAAATACTAAAATAGGTAACTATAAATACTTAAATCTAGTTCATTTTAAAGCTAAAATACATGTAATTGATTCTTGAATTTTAGACTATTATAAAACTGAAAAATATATGTAACTAATTTTGAATTATAATTCTATATAAAGCAAAAGTAAATTAAAAGTGTAAATTTTCAACTAAAAATTATTAATTTAATTATTTAAAATATTAAAATAAGTAAAATAAATATAAATAATATTATTTTAAATTTCTATGATAATCAAAAATAAAATAAATAAATTATAAGACAAATTATAAAAAAGGTAATTTTTAATTGTATATAGGTATTGAATAAAATATAAAATATAAAAAGTGTTAATAATATTTTTAATATTAAAATTTTTTAAATTTTCAGATTTATTATAAAAATATTTATTTAATATAATTGAAAAATACAAATTAATATTCTAATTTAAATAAAAATTTTACTATATTAATCAAATAAAGTAAATAGATAGATTTATAAAAAAAAACAATATCACTTTATAAAATTTTATATATTTAAATAAAAAATACCTTAGTTAATTTTATTTTCCAATAATAGAAAATATCAAAAAATATGATAAAAAGGTTTAAAATTAATAAATCAAATATATATTTACAATTTAATTTATAAAAGTAATATAAAATTCAAAAAAAAAGTTATAAAACTAATATAACTTAAAAATGAATTAAAGAACTATGAATAATTAATATCTCTAATATTACTTTAAAAATGCTAGTATTTAAATTAGTAAATTTAATAAAGTGAAATTTTGTATAAACTTTACATTTTATAATATTACAAACTGTTAAATATTTAAGTATATATAATACTTTGAAGATTTACATATATATAATTATAAAATTTAAAAATTTACAAAGTGTAATACTTTAATATGTAATATATTAAAGATTTATAATTAAAGATTTATGATATATAATACTTCAAAGTAAAATACTTTAAAAGCTTATAAAATATAAAAATTTTAAAAAGTTTATGAATTTATTTATACTTTAATTATTTGTAATTACTTTTGAAAATATTTTAATATTTTTTTAATATATTAGTAAATAGTTTTAAAAACTATTTTAAGCCTAAAGTATAAATATATAATAAAAAAAATTAATTATATATTAATCTTGATCATTAACATAGTTAACAGTTTTTATATCATATGGTACTTTCAAATTTGCAACAGAATTTGTAATACATTTCTAAGTATAATCTTGTGAGATATTTGCAATGACCTCTACTTCACAAGATAACTCTGTAGAAATAACTATTAATTTTATCAATACTCTAACTTTCTAACTTATCCAAATTATTAACAATAACAATTGTGCCCATTGTACATGCAGGGTCAAGTGTGTCATCATGTACATCTACCTTATGCTAAATTTTTTTCTCTTTATTGTATCACCTTATTTTATCACCAATGCTTTTCTTATATACATTGACTAAGAAAGTATCTATCTCTTTATTCTCTAATGATTTTCCATAATGGTTTTTATCTGAATTAAAATCAGATGAGTTGTTATTAGAAGGATTATCATTCTACAGTTGTTTCTATTTCAGTTTCACAACTCTATCAGTAGTATCTCTGATTTTAGCATCACATCTATTATTCTCTTCCATAATTTACTTTATAAATTCTGCATTCCTAATTTCAATCTCAGTAAACTTCTTCTTAAGTTTAAGAATTTTGGTAAACTTCTTTTTAAGTTCAGAAATCTCAGCATTTTTCAAATTCAGCTTTCCTAGCCTTAAACTTAATAATATGTTGCTTTAATAAATCTATTTTAGATTATATGTCTTATAATATTTTATATTCTATGTTAGTATTTAAAATCAGAAAAATATATAGATTATTTCAGCTGATCGTTAACTAAATTAACAGTTTTTGTCAAGAAAAAAATTTATTAATGCATGCAAAAATAAATACAAAGATCAGAACTTTGCTTGTAATATATGAAGACTATGCTATTATTATATATGCGAATAATATTCCTCTATTCTAATTCTCTTTTTAATCAGTTCTTTATTTACATACTCTAACCTATTCTTTAATAAGCTAACGATAATTTCTATAACTCATTTTA